TAATTTATTTATATGTTATTTATTTCAACTGAAGAAGACTCTGTGCAGTTGAAATGTGTTGACATTAAATTTCGTTAAAATTTTTATATCATGTCTTAGTGATTTTATGTCACATTACACCTTATTCGTTCCTTGGCCGAGTCAAAATTTCTTACTTAAGAATTAAGTATTTTTATAAGATAAATTTTAAATACTAATTTTGTATTAAAAATTTTTAAATGTTTTAATTGTTAAAATTATTAAAATATTCTAATTATTATTGTTGTTATTGTATGTAGAGTTCAATTTTACATATATAATATATTATTTATTTAAATTATTTAAATATATATTATGATAACTATATTAAAATTTGATAGACTTTTACATTTGTTTATACTTACAGGATATGTTTATGCTCAAGAAGATGAGAACATTGATGATATTGTTGATGTAGAAGGCGAAGAAGGTAGTATAATAACTGATGAAGAAACAGAAGAAGATACTAATAATGCCTCAGCTGATGCTGATACAACAATACTTTTTACAAAACCTGTTCATAATACGTTGTCTACTCTTGGTATATTTTTATTGAATTTTTTATTATTGAGAGTAAAATGTATGATAATACTAAAATTCATTGTGAATTTGACAGAATTGCCAGCTGGAAATATAGTAGAATTTCTTGTGGGTTTCACCAATAAGGGTGAAAATGATTTTGTTTTGGAAACGTTGGATGCTTCCTTCCGTTATGCTATGGACTTTAATTTTTATATTCAAAATTTTTCTACGTTCACATTTAATAAAGTTGTGAAGCCCAAGCATGAAGCTACTTTAGCATATTCTTTTATACCATCTGAGAGTTTCTCTGGAAGGCCGTTTGGTTTAAATGTTAACTTGAATTATAAAGATGCGGTACGTATGATATTAGATAAAAAATATTATATACAGAGTTTTAAGGCGATGCTGGAAGGTTGGAAAAATTTGCACGAGCAATCGATAAAGCAGACTCTTCTGTGTCAGTAGTATCTCTAAATGAACTTCTTACAATATCTTCTAGTCTCACTCAAACACGTGGAATGTTCTTGTCTAACTAATTGAAGTGCCATCTCTTAGAAAATCGGAAAATCCGGCACTTATTGCCAGACGCAATTTTTGCTCTTTACCTTATTTGAGTATACGAATTACCACAAATTGCATTCTAAGGGATAATTGTTTTTCTACATTTCCAATCGTAGCTCAAAGGATCTTGTATTATTCGTGCAAGTAATCCGATGCGCGCGAACTACTTTTTTTGTACATATGAGTTACAGAACTTTTGTACCAATGAAATGTTTACGTCAGGTGACAGGTTATGAGTTGTACGACTCCCCAAAAAAGATAATTTTTTAATATTTTTCGTTTTTACTACAAATTTATAGTTCGCTCGCTTACATTTTATCTCTATTTCAATCCTGTAAAACCGTTTTTAAATCCGTTTAGTCGTTTCGGAGTTATCCATTAGAATGCAAATGTCGGTAATTTTTACTTCCAGCATCGCCTTAAATAAGCATTTAATAAGTTTATGATCTAAAAAAAAGAATATACGGAGTGTTTGCTAACATGATGAACGTCCAATATTTTTTAAAATGTGTAATAATATACACGGCGACAATTGTATGTTTGCATTCAGGCCAAAATTTATTATTTTGAGCACTTATAAAGATAAATAGCTTTATATTACTGGAATATAAATATGATTATAATTCGGAAACAAAAGCCAAATGGAACACATATTTATATGAACTTTTATTATTGTCTTTGTGTTCCTTGTCTATCAGTAAAATGGATCCTACATGTTAGGAAACAACAAAACACCCTGTATGGTACATAGTACTTTCTGATAAAAAATATTGCATATAAAAACAAATATATACAATTATACGTTATATATAAAATATATCCATATGTTTTTTTTCTCTTATATAATCTCGTATAATCTATTTGTACTTTATTTTTGCATAATTTTTTTGTATATACAGATAAGAAAAAAATAAGACTTACAAAATAATTAAATGAATAATTTTTGCATTTTTTATAAAATGTAAAGTTTAAAAAAATGAGAAAAAATTTACTTGTATATAATCAGGGGCGACAAATTGTCATGTGCAGAGACGTCGGCGGGAGAAACATAACAAAATTTTCACTTAGTTTCACTTACTATACTTTCATATTAAGATCTCTTTATATAGACTTTATATTATATAGACTTTCATATATATTAAGCTTAAAAGAATAATGAACAATTAAATGTTTAAAAATTTTTTAAATAAATTCTTATAAATATTTTCGTTTAATTTGTTGAAACACTTAAAGCAAACATTGAACTCCGAATATTATTTTTTTTTATAATAAATTTTAGAATAAATCGGTTTGCTAAATAGTTGAAATTTTGAAACAAAAGTTTAACAAAAATGTAATTATCTTTGGCTCAACATTAGTTATTTAAAAAAATTGCTTATGTGTGGAATTCCACACATGAAAAATTCTGATGTGTGGAGTACTCCACACACACACACACACACACACGCACGCACGCGCACGCACGCACACCAAAGTTACCGCCCATGTATATGATCTGTATAAATGCAATAATTACATTAAGTTATGTAATTATAAATAAAATATATAATTTAAGCGCAGTTACTTTTTTAAGAAAGAAGAATGCAAAAATTATATTTCTAAATATTCTAATTATTTTTCTATATATACAAGGTGTCTCATTTTAATCGATCACCTCAAATATCTCTTGAACAATGTATTTTAGGGAAAAATGTTTCAGACAAAAGTTTTGGGACTTCGAGGGGGACATAACATGATAACATTGGTTTGACCCTGAGTGGCGTCGTCAAGGTCAGAACAAGGTTACTTTGAATTTTTTAAATGGAACCCCTCATTTTTCATTACATATTCTTGTAGCACACCTTGAGAGATAGTGTTCGTTATAGTGCTTTGGAAAACTGTTGACACTAGCTCTTAGATTCTGGAATAAAAAATAAGATGTTCTATTTAAGAAAATTAATGTGATCTTTCCTGACGTCTTGGCGACGCCATCCAAAATCAAATCAATAAGATCAGTAAATAGATCTTTTTAAATCCTACAACTTTTGTTTAAAACATTTTTTTGAAAAATGTTTTCTTTTTTAATAAATTGTGTGTTAGTTTAATTTGATATTGTTACAACTTCAATTTTGGGACTATATTTTAAGCTGACATAATCGGCAGTTTGAACTGTATAATACATGAGATCCGAAAATTTCGAGTGCTCGCCGGCTCATGTAAAGAGACATGGTCCGGTCCGACGCACTACTTCTTTAGCGCCGAGCCACATTTATCTCGTGATAAATTGACACAAAATATTATTGGGTGTCAGGTATTCGCTTTAACTGTACAGACACTATTGTTATGTATTCTTATTTTTGGTCAATTTCTACTTATTTTATATTTTTATAAATTTGTCATATTTTAAATTTATTAAAATTTCCGAAAAAAATATTTTAAACTTTTTTATATTTTATAAGTTCTTCAGAAATTATATAATTATATAAAAAATGTAAAAAATCTTATAATATATCAAAAGTCAGATATTCTAAAAAAAATGTTAATTTTCTTTGGCAGAAAAATTTCTACGAATAAGGATGAATTTTAATGTCAAACAACGCACAAATGCGAAAAAATACGCAATATTATGGCAGTTGAATTTTTGTAGAATTTTGTAAAAATATGTACAAATTAGTACATCTTCTGATGTTCTATTACAATTTTTTACGAAAAGGGTGAAATTCTTAGAAATATGGCAAAAATTACACCACTCCATGTCTCATTACGAATTATTACGAGAAATTAAGAATTTCTAAGATTATCTTGTCTCACACAATCTATGTAATTTCTCTGTAGTTTATCGTAGTTATTTTTGTTTTTCATAAAAATTTTTCTGCCATAGTTCTTAGTACTTCTGAAAAGTATTCCAATTTGTATAAAAAGATTTGGGAAATTTTCTAAAAAATATAAAATTATAAAATTATACAAAGATTCTGAAAAATTATATATTAAGAATTATAAGAAAAAATTTGATCAGTGATTACATGATCTATTATATTTTTTACAGAATGGAGTTTCTTACAATGAAGCAGTCTTTAATGAAACCGTACAAATTATAGAGATAGATGATGGTCTTGATGGAGAAACTGTATTTCTTTACGTATTCCTTGCTGCATGTGTTATATTGACCCTTGTAGGAGGTCAACAATTGTTATCATCTCTGGGACGCAGATCACGTTCTTCTACTACTCGTAAAGTACCTGTAGAAATGGGTACATCTAATCCTAACAATGTAGATTATGATTGGCTGCCAAAGGAAACTCTCAACAGAATTAGTAAGTAATAGAAATGAGAAAATCTGCTTATATTAAGTTGAAATCTTAGAAATCTTAGAAATTCATATCTAACTACAACTTGGGTAACATTTTTAAATAATTTTGGAAGTTAACAATTACAAAGATTATATATTAAGTTATATATTAGCAATTACAAAGATTTTAAACACAAGGGATCTTATTTTATGTTATTTTCTGTCTTCATTTAATAATAAATCTCGCTGTTGAATCTCAATTGCTATTACAAATTTCTTTATTTGTATTACGTTAAAAGCTATAAAATAAAAAATAAAATAACGAATCATCCTTGTTTACAGATAAATCTCCTAGAACTCCAAAGCAAAGCCCAAGACAAAGGAAAACAAAAAGAACTGGTTTTGATGATTGAAGTATATATTAATATTTATATGTGTATGTTATTTAAAGTTAATATAGAAAAATCTCTATTACATTGCAATAATTTTTGAAAAACAATTCAAGATTTTTTAATCTCTTAATTATGAAATAGAATATATAGTTTCAATAAGTAATACAGAATATTTCAGTTCCTTAATGAGTTATTAATCAGATACTATATATAGAGAAAGACATACACACTATTCTGTAATATTACAGAATACGTTAAACTTTATACATGTATGTTCAATAGAAAGAATGGTACAATGATACTCAATGATTTGTTTTTGCACAAAACCCGTACATAGTCGCATAGTACTTAAGAGTTATACGTTTCTTTTTTGAGATTAATTATTCATTTTTTTACATAATGTTATCACCACGAATAATACGTATGTTTTTCCGTGCGTGTGTGCGCGCATGCGTGCATGTATGTGTACGTGTACAGAACAGATAAAATCTGATTATTTTGTAATTATATTGTATCAGTATATAAAAATTCAATAAAAAATTTTTTATGAAGATATTTTTCTATTAAATAAAATTTATTTTAAGAATTTGATAATGTATACGTCTTATATCAGAATTTTCATTTGTTCATGGTCTTGAATTGAAATTATCATTGAAGATACATATACATATCTTTAAGAGGTGTATCTACAGTCGTTTGACTGTCATCCAAGGATGCGTTCTGAATTAGGTCAGAAGCACATGAAATACATAACAAAGCATAAGCAGAGAGAAACGCTTCTTTCTGGATATGTTTCTTTCCTTTGTTAAATTGTTTGGTACAAAAAAATAATAATAAAAAATAATTAAAAGTAAATAATTTTGGCAGTTTTTTTACAAAATATCAAATTTTAAGAAATAAAATTAAATTGTTTCATATTATATTATATATATATATATTTTTTTAATTATTACATATGATTATATATGGGCAAATTTTTTTCATTTTTTTTAACCCGTAAAGGACACCTGGATGCGAATTCGCACCAAGCGAATTTTTTTAAAGTTTTATATCTTCTGAAAATAAAAAGCAAAATTTATTTCTCAATGTAAGATTGTCTGACCAATCAATTGGTAATATTAAATTTTCGAAAAAAAAAACGTTTTCAAATTTTGTGTTAAACAAAATCATTCAAAAGAGCTGAGGTGTCCTTTACGGGTTAAACTTTATTTTTTATAAAAGAACAATGCAAAAATTATTTTTTTAATTATTTAAAAAATTTTTTTATTTATTACCATTTTTCTTGTATTAAATAATAATTGTTCAATGGAAAGAAACATAAATATTTATGGACAATTACGCATATATAATTATAATATGACATTTAATCCGATTACTGCCAAAAAAGAAGATTTAACGAGGATAGGATAAAGGATATTTTAGTAGACGACGTGGATACAGAAATTCAAGTAGTCCGACAACAGGAGATCAGATATAGGAGTAAAAAATCCAACACGTTGAAAAATTTGTTTGTATTTTCTGTTCCACATTTTTGCCCAGTAAAAAATTTTTCATATAACCACACATATATAACATCACCGACGAGATATTGTTAAAGACCAACACTTACGAGAGTTAGCGTCGCTGGTTTAGTGATTGTTAAAATTTAAGCAATTCGTCAATAATATAATATTAATTTAATGATTTATTGTTAGATCATGTTTTTTAGACATGTGTACATCCATTGTAATTTATCTGTATTATAACTTAGCTAATAATTAATTTTATTTAAAACTGAATTTTTATAGTTACCATACGTATTTGATTATCGAGAGAGATGGTAAAACAGTTGGAAAA